TTCTGGGAAACCGAGTGAACTTTAATCAGCTATCTCTATGCAAATAATACAGCCACAGTGCATTCGAGGCGCAATAATTGGCAATTCCCTTACCCAGTGCGGTTTGCCCCGGGAGGATCGAGTGAGCTCCGCCTGATGCAGTCTGTCTCAGAATTGTGTGTGAGAAAGTTAGATCTTACGGTTCGTCTTTTGTTTGCGAGTTAGGTCAATTAGACAAAGTTGCAAGAAAGGGTTTGTTGGAACGCCTAAAAGAACGTACTTAAATCGGGCTAAAATTTCTCAAGAGCCACTGCAGGGAAAGTGTCAAAAGTTGAACGTGTCTTGGACTGATAACGCCATTTTAAGTGGAATAGTAGGTCACGTAGGTGTTATGCTGCAGATGCAGATATTCTTTTACCACACATTTTTGTCAGTTGAGCCCCATTAGTGGAGGGGGCGATGCCGGGTCCGAAAGTTCCCACTGCAGAGCTTGTTGCGCAGCCCCAAAGCGTGGATGTAATTTTGTACCGGGTGAGTTGAAACAGATGCACCGCCGCCAACACCGCCATCATATATGTAAGAGTACCTACTTTACCCAAACGCCGTGCATGACAGTGCATACCAACTCTATGAAGACAGCTCGCCACTCCTCTGGCAGGCCATTCCGGCCCGGTCCGTCCCCCCGCCGTGTCACAGCGGCCGCCTCTCTCTCGTGCTCACCTGTCATGAGCGGCCGGCCGTGCGCGCGGCGCGGCGCGGCGCGGCGCCCCTCTGCAGCCGGCGTCGCCCGCGGCCTCCCCGGCGGCGCTCCACAGCGCTGCACGGTCCGCGTTCCCTGTACGGCGGCGGCCGGCTCGTTTCTCGCTCTGTAATGGAGCTCGGTATTGCCGGTTGGCGTGCCGCGGTGTGCTGGTCGCGCTCGGCCGGCGCGCCTGTTCTTCGTATACGAGGCCGCCCCGTGAGAGCCGCGCCGACCGGCCGGGCGGCGATGTGCTGCCACCTCCGGCCCTCTCGAACTGTTGAATACCTACACAGTCTAGGTCCCCCTGGCCTCACCTGTTTACCAAGCCGTGTCTGAGATCGCAAAACGATTTCAAAACTGAAACAGGAGCTAAAACGCACCAAAGTTGACGTCAAGTTATCGGCGCGGTACTGCTTCGCCGTTTGTGTCTTCCTGTGTTTGAACTCCACTCGATTCGCCGTTTTCTTACTGCTGCATCATACTTAAAACGCTGATATAGCTTTGCGCATTTTAAAATGCACAGGTGAAGCATTTATAACATGTAGATAAACACTAGAAAAAAGTTCGTCTCTGTGACGGAATCATCCGTCTGCGCCCCTCGCCCATGATTCTGGGCGTCCCTCACCCAGGAGTTGGGCGTCCCGCAACCCAAGAGCAGCTACGGGCGTCCTGCAGCCATCATTTCGGGCGTTTCGCACCCACGAGCCGAGGTGTTCGGGCCAGATTAGTCCGGTTTTATCCGGTTTGCTGTTCGTGGTTTGTGAGCTGCTGGTAACCGAGGGAACTGTGGCTTCGGTACATGAAGTTTATTGGTTTCGGTCGGTGGCTGCAAGGCATTATCAAAGCGATTGTAATGCGATTGATTGTGGTTGATTAAACGAATGCTTGGGAGAAACTGTCAGTGATTTTTGTAACGCTCTATTCATGTATCGTTGTGTCGTTCACCTGCAGATGGACGGTTTACTGTATACGATGATGTATAGTTTTTTCTTCTTCGTCATGTTTTACATAGACAGGCGTCGCACCATCTGTTTTCATTGCACCGAGTTCACAAAGGCGCCGGTATTGCCTTGCCTCGCGTGCTGGCGCTCTGTGCCGTTTCACCACGCGGGTCGATCTCCATTCTGAGCTCTAACCGCGCACCTAACGGCGGCGGGCAGATCGCGCCGGCCGGCCGCCCTCACTAATGCACGCTCTGTGCAGAGATAAGGCGCCCGCACCATGTACCGTGGGCGATACTCGGGCCACTCGGTATTCAAAGCACAGACCTCGCCAACATACTGCGTCGTAGAACAGGAACTGTGAGGCAAGGAGCGAGGGCTTTTCGTCCCAGAAATATACAGTGGAGACTTTACTCCAGTTGCAGTGGTTTAGGTGGAACGGCACACAATACTGTCAGGTCAGGTCATATTTCGTGTTTTGCACCGGTGGTGTTCTTATGGTGGATGATTTGCTCATTCATGAATCCCATGTTTTTGCTACACACTCCTGTCTTTTCATGGATGCCCAACCTCGCCAATGGCACTTTTCCGAGCTTTTACCTCCCCATTGCTCGTTTTCGACCGTGTTTTTTTTTTTAAACAATTATGTCCTTAGTTTTCTGTGGTAATTTGTTACAGTCAGCAGTAGCGGCGGAGCAACTTCAATTAAAGGGGGGGGGGGGGGCACTGCCGACTTTTGGTCCCATTCTTTCCATGCAACGCCCATAGGGCTAATGTTAAAACTCCCAAATCAAAGGGGGGCACGGTGCCCCGATGCCCCCCCCCGTTCCGCCGCCTATGGCAGTCAGCTCGTGAATCTTATCGAATAGTATGAATCGAGGCTTGATTCTGTTACTTGGCTGTGAACAATGAAGCCACCTTTCAATCACATTCATTCCGGGAAGAGAGTCATTCGGCCATGTCATACCCATGAACTAATGCCATTCTCTCTTCTGGGTAAGCTTACATCAGCCCTTCGCTTTGCGAGGTTTCCACATTCGCGATGCAAGGGAATGGAGGAAACAAGTGCTTTCAGCGTATGTATTGCATAGTCGATAAAGTCACAGCTCAAAGGCTTCGGCGTAAGGGAAGCGGCACTTCAAAATGCTTCCAGTGGTAGTGCCAGCTTGCCACCATACCGAGTACTGCCCCCCTAAAATTGCGACTTTTATTGCCTGTTGAGGAATTAGCCCCGAAAAACGGGACGTCTACTTCCAGTTCAAATTGATTTCTAGCCTGTTCCGTCTCTAAAATCGCACATTGATGCTGGTTTTCTGGAAATTTCCAGTTTAGTGCCCCCGATGACCCACGGTATGCCGAGTTCCATATGCTCAGTGTCTGTACTCTGTGCTTCCATGTTTCACGGCGGCCTATTGGGCTCTGTGGCCCAGTTCATGGCCTCAAACAAAGGCAACTCCATCCGTTAATGCGAGCTGTTTGACACTAACGGATAACGGCGCGTAACGGACCTCCGTTACCACCAAACCGTTTCTCCTGAGAATCCCCCCCCCCCCCGCATCTCTCTGCCGCCCGCTCCCATCCCCACCCCCCAGTTTCCGCTTCGTTTGGTCCCCATCTCCGAGGCGAACACAAAACCTCTATTCGGGGATTTTTTTGGTGGCCGTAATTGACCTCGGCCGCGTGCTGTGCTGTCGGGACAGTTCGCCGAACGCGCGTCGGAGCGGTGCCGGCGCGAGCGAGCCGATTAGGTACCGCCGGCCTTCGGCGCCGGGCAAAGAAAATCACTGCCGACGACCGCCGCCCCGACGAATTTCTGGGAAACAGAGATTGGTCCTCGCTGAGAAGACAGAGAAAGGAGACTGAGGGAGGGATGGAGAGAGAGAGAGAGAGACGAGACGAGACGAGACGAGACGAGAAATAACGTAAGAAAGAAAGAAAGAAAGAAAGAAAGAAAGAAAGAGAACTAGGAAATTAAAAGAGAGTATGGGAGGGAGGGTAACAGGAAGAAGAGAGATGAGCCGGGAGGAGAGAGAGAGAAAAGAAAGACAGATAAATAGCAAAAGAAAATTTAAAAAGAGGAAGAGAAATAGAAAGGAAAAAAGAGCGATAGAGGAAAGAGAGAGCGAGGGGGTATAAACGACTAAGCAGTTAACAGATTCGTCACTAAGCAGTTTGGGCGTGGGCGGCTCCACCTGATTTCTGGAGGGAGCCGGTTTTGGGTTCAGTTTTTTTTTCTGCCGGGTGGTTTGGGCTGTGGAGCCGTTTGGGGCGGTCTCTGGTGGCGATTGGTGGGAAATAATTGGTGACAAATACCGCTGTCAGCCCCGGGCCCAGGGCGGAATCAGTTGTCGACCTGTGGTGACTTCTGGAAATGAAATGGCCTAGGGGTGGCAAGTTTTTATGTCCTTTAATGATAGATAGGACCGTGCTAGTAGGTAGGAAATACGAATGCATATGCCAACGGCAGAAAATATGACCGATGGGGATGAATCTGCTTAGTTAAAGTGACTAAACAATGAGCATGGATATTACCAATATTACGCGTAAGTTTTTGCCCCTTTACCTGTGTTTTTTTTTTTTACAACTTCTTTATTTCGCATATTTCTTTTTCATTTTTAAGACGGACATTTTTTCCATAACATTTATTTTCCAAAAACACATGAATGTAAACTCTCCCTATAGGTATTGCTCCCGCACCAAGATTTTGACCTGCCGTTCTCTCCTCTCTCGCCGAGCACGGTTGTTTTTCCGCCCGCCTCTCCTCATCCATAAATTCATCTGTGTGCGCCGCTGGCGCGCGCTCCCAGCCGCCGCCTGCATCTCGCGCAATCAGCACGCTGTTTACGCCGTTTCGGCCTCGGCCGTTCCCGGAAGCCAATTGGCGCGCTCTGGGCGCGCGCTCTGATTTGTTGTCGAAGCTCCCGCAGCTCGGGCGGCTCTCCGGGCTGTGCCGGCGCAGCGCGCTAGAAGCTTCCCGGAAGTGTTTGTGCTGCGTGGAGAGACCGGTAATGTCGAGTGGCGGCGAATTTCGGAACTGCCTCGCGCGCGTTTTGGAGGCTGTCTGTTGTTGAAAATGGAGCCTGGAGCAGGTAGAACGAGCGTTCGTCCGGTATGGAAAGCAGCTGGGTTCGTAGAAGTGTAATAAGCGACGCGGGAAAGGATATTATCTTATTGAAAATGGGAATAGAAAACCATTGCATATCGTCATCGCAAAAAGACAAAAAATCTGATTGGAGGCGTCTGATGACTTTTGCACACCGGATTCCAGCAAGTATTCAGGCATCATCATCACCATTATGTTTCTTTTTGTTTACACTCGTGTCTGTGTGTGTTCCCAGGTTTGCCAGGCTGCTGACTGCTGCATCTTCCTGCTGAGATCCGCTGATCAGCAGTGCCGCCCGATCAGCTCAGCAGTGGCTCAGCTGCGCCGGCTCTGCGATAACGCTGACGGCCTGCCGCCCCACTATCAGGTCAGGGTCAGCGCAGGGGTCCTGAAACCGGGGGCTCTCAAACCGGAGCTCTCATGCCGCCCGATTATCAGGTCAGGGTCGACCGAGGGGTCCTCAAATCGGGGACTCTCAAACCATGATTGATTCAGTGATCCCCGAACTAGGGCTCTCAAACCAGGGTCAAATAAGTGGACCTCAAAGCAGGAAGTCGGTCGCTACATGGACTAGGCAAAATTCGTCCTTGGTCGTCATGAGTAGGAACTGGAATCATGTCCTCTCATCCAGTGGCTGCGGAAGGTATTTTGTTGGTCTCGCATCTTACTCAGCGGGCTGATACCAGGCATCAGTTCACCGGCCTAAAGGAAGTGACTAGCCTCGACGGAATATCCACTCCTGAATGAACCACGCCTTTCCACCGCACGAAATGACACGTCACAGCGCAGTGCGGAGGCCTCGGCGCCCTTGCCCTACTGACCTAGCGTCTCCCGAGCTCATTGTGCTCCTCACGCGGGCTGATCTCAGTAACCGTTTATTGTACTGCACCATGACTGGAACTCTCTCACCATTGCGTGTGCTAGGCGACTCTAGCTGCCAGTCAGCTCGGTCAGACATTGGTTCACTTGGCAGGCTAGCTCCTGACCCAGTGGTAACAGCGCATGTCTGCGCCTCAGCCAAAGGCCACTCGTCGTCGGGTCGGTACGGAGAATTTCGGTGGGGTGCTGGTATGGTCGCTATGTGACCTTGGTGCAGGGCACGTGGCCCCGCTCAACAATTTACACGGAATGTGTTGCACAAATATGGCACATATGAACTGAGCCTCTATCTTTCGCAATTATCGATTTGATGTCCTTATTACGGAGCGAGCGAAGCGAGCGTAGTCTTTCCTTAGATTAACGGAAATTTCTGAGTATGAGCGGCCGGCCGGCCGGCCGTGGTCACGCTTTTGCGAGGCTTATATCTCAGCAACCACTTGACCGATTTACACGCGGTAATTTTTGTAGGGTAGCTTCATTCCTTCTACCAAGTATTGGACTATTCCCGATGCATGTGGGTGACCACTTATGCACGTGCCACGTGCAAAACGAAGAGGTGTCACTTTTGTAATTGTTGCAATATCTCGGTAACTACTTGGCCGATTGCGCTGAAAGTTGGCATGTAGGTAGGCACCCACTAGGCACTGCATATACATGTGCCAGAGTTGGGGTGCTGCTGCACGTGCGCACGTGCAGGGGTCGTTTCCAGATCTCGAGAACGGCTGGACCGATTGCGCTCAAATTTGGTACACGGTTAGGGACCGGTTAGTAGGGTGCCGTGCACAAGTCAGTTGGGACCCATTTTGCACGTGCGCACGTGCAGGGTGCCGCTTCCAGATCTCGAGAACGGCTGGGCCGATTGTGCCCAAATTTGGCACATCGCTAGAGACCAGTTAGTAGGGTGCCGTGCACAAGTCAGTTGGAGGTACCCCCTCGCAATTTCGCACGTGCAAGGCCCACCCTCTCGCTCGCTCCGTTAGTCGCCCCAAAAGGCGTTATACTGGTGTATATCCGCATAAGCGTTCCGCAACAGAGTCTTGTTTTGAGAATCTGTCGAGCCCCTTTAGACATATTTAAATTTCCAAGAGATATCTTTTGATGTCGACATTTAGCAGCGAACCCATGCATATTGCACAATGCACATGACGCGGCCTCGTGGGATTCCATGGTATCACCCGCTTTGATTGCCGAGGTGTTTCACTCACACCGGAACGAACTGGCCGTAATTTACTTCCTCACTTTCCCGGCAATAACACCCCTCCACCCTCCCCCCCCCCCACCTTACCGGCTGTGTCAACATTTCTAGGAGGTGGAGCGAGTAACGGCCGCTGGTGATTCCGCAGCACACAGACTGACTGCAGGCGATTAAATGTGCGTGCGCGTTCACTCAGAAAACCCTACTGTAAAGTCGACTAGGGCTTCCCTTGTCGCTGTATGGTCTCCGAAATGGAAATGAACTCTGACAAGTTATGTGACGGATAAAATTATTGTTCAAAAGTGAAGTAAAATGCTCAAAATCAAGAACTGTATGTTGAATAGCTGCGGAATTGTTTAAATGATCTCATATTGCGTTATGTATAATAAACCCCATCAGTTGTCGTGAGCAACGATTGATATTCCTTGTTGATCCAAATTAACAAACGACCAATGCTCAGCCATTGGCCGTTAACGTTCAAAGGTGTTTGCAATGGAATTGGATATGGTTATAGTGCTTCGGACGTGCACTCAGCAACGCGGGCAGTCATCGCCATCGGTCATCGCGGTGAGAATTTCCATGTGCCGCGTCTTGACGCCCGGCCGGTCGGAAAATGAATGCATCCGGCGCTGCTGTTGGGCCGGGTCCGGAATATCCAGACTCGCAATAGCTCCGTGATTCGGTCCTGATATGCGGCAGTGTGCAGCGCCTCCCGCCGACAGAATTTTGACTGGAGATCCTGCACCTGACGTGTGGCTCCGGGTACCTTCACTCTTTCACAAATATGGATCCCGGGCTGTGTTTTGCGCCCAAGCGCCAACAACAATACGTTCAATGCGTTCTACTCTTCCAATGCTTTGATGCATGATCAGTTACGCAGTATTGAACTGTACACTACAGGTCTCGCGGGTTTGAGCGGTAGGTTTTGCCCCTATGAAATCTAGTAAATTTCCGGCTATATCTTCTTGGTCTTAACAGCTTTTAAGGGTTGAAGATGCGATCCATTTCTTCTTACATATGTCTGCCATGATCCTCTAAAATGGCTTCATCGTATATTGATTAGTTTCTGAGGTAACCGAAGGTTTGTTGTCAATAGTTAAAACACTATTCTTTAGAATTGTGTTTTTCTATTGAAAAACAAATCTGAGTTCCCTGACAATTTGGCAAAAGCTGCCTGAGATCATATAACCGGAAATGTAAAAAGGCAAAACCTACCGCTTAACACACGAAAGCCGTACATCGCACACTATGCCTTCGGGGTAGTTCTGAACTGCCTCTGATCTGTTGACGGCTTTGCTCTCAGAACTGTGCAGTGGACAGGCGTGACACGGTAAAGTTCCTACGCTTGAATCCCAGGAGAGCGCGGTTCTCCATTTGGTGAACCGGGTGACAGTCATTTCTTTATGGACAGCGAGTGAACTGAGTTGAATATTTTAATGTTCTTATAGTCCGAAGGAGCTATTCACCAGCTAGACGATAAAACTATTGATCTTATTCGCCATTTTAACGATATTTATAATGATAAGTCATTGATGGTCGGTTTCGCATCAAATATGTGTAAAGATTCTAAAATTCGTAAATTGAAGTTTGAGCGTTTTTGATCTATGATTTTGAAATCTTCTATACTGAAGGGGGTGTCACATGCTATAGAATGATCCCGTACAGACGATGCTACTGGACTGGATAAGAGTTCGCCCGTTCTGTGTGACATACCCCTGTGTTGGCAAACTGCTGTGGAGCCTTACATAGGTAGAGCCTATGTAAGATCCTTCACACGAAGGACAACTGAACTTATAAACTACAGCAGATCGACACATTTTAGGGATAGAGTCCTTGAACTTGAACAGAGATCCAATAGTGAAGTTGTTTCTGAGAATGAATCGCAGGCTTAGATATGGGTAGTACTTTTGTAGGAGAGCGCTTATTTCATTTTTGAGCTTAATTGAGCGTTTTCCGAAAAACGGCAAAGTGAAAAAGTTTTCGAGTTTTTTCAACTTTTTATAATGATAACTCTGTCATGCCTTTTTGTTGAAGTCTATTTCTTTTTCATTTCTACTTCATTCCATTTCGCTATTTTACGCTATTTTACCAATATCAGACCTTCCTGCCCTTCTCTTCCTGCCTTCCTGATAGTCATCTCTGCCCTAGCTGTCAGCTGGGGGGGGGGGACAGCTCTCCAAAATTCATAGCCGGTCTCCAGGGGGTGTTGATACGCTTCCTGGGAGCTCTGGCGCCCTACACCCTCACATAAGTACATATACACATACCGTGCATATATACATATGCACACGACATATACACATGTGCCGGCGGGCTCGGCTTGATGAGTAGCTCAATTGACGCGCGCCACTGGGCTGGAATGGCGTCGAAGCAAGCGGGATGTGGGGGGTAATTGATGCACGTTGTCTGTATAACTACGCCACCCTCCTCCTATGACGTCAGAGCGCTGATGACGTGATTAGTCTTACGCAGGAAATGCAGTTGTGTGTTTATTGAGATAGTCTAGTCGGGAATAGTTGGGATGAAATGGGGCGCCGATTTGCTAAAAGTTTGCGCAAGATGCCGGTTGAACTAACTTGTATCGTCATTTTTGGTTCCCATCCCATTATCAATCACATTTTCATTTTGATTCCTGCGACTCACTTCTTGGTGAGTGATTTTGTTGGCAGTAGCTTAAACATTTCTGGATAAAATATTAGGCGCCACTATTTCACGGAGCGTTATGCGCATCTTCTTGCACTTCGCAGGCTAAACTTATGGACGAGCCTCCGAATCGTTTCAACGTTAAGCGGAAATCAGCACCGTGAGCTGTGTGGGTGGTCCCTGCCTCGCTCTCCGCTCCCCGCGTCATCATTTGCCCAGCCTCTGACCCCGGCTTGTAACTGACCCGAGGTCACGGCTCGAAATCAGGTCAGGTGATGCGTCAATCGTCAGTCATATTAAAATCCTCGGATGTTTCGCAAACGGGCCACGAATGTGTACTACAGCTTGCGTGAAACATATCGATTCGTGGTGACTCTAAAACAGGTTAAAATCACGATTGCTATTTGCTGACGATATTTTCATCATTGCACCGGCACCAGTTCTTTTGGTCCAAGCAGCGGAAGAATTGTATGCAGCGCCGCTGTCGGGAAGCTGGCTGGAAGATTCATCTTGCAGTGTAAGAATTAACAGCCATAACCTCGCCGCCACCTGCTCAGCTCCTCTCACACTGCGTTGAATCGGCTCTCCGTTTTTACCGTGTCAGTCATTCATCATCCCATGATCCCTCGTCAGCCGGCCGGCTAGTTCAC